TATTCTATTCTATTCTATTCTATTCTATTCTATTCTATTCTATTCTATTCTATTCCTATTCTGTTCTATAATTCTTCCTATTACTATCCTATATTCCATTCTATTCTTCCTATTCCTATCCTATATTCTATTCTTCCTATTCCTATCCTATATTCTATCCTATCCTATCCTATCCTATCCTATCCTATCCTATCCTATCCTATTCCTATTCTGTTCTATAATTCTTCCTATTCCTATCCTAATTCTGTTCTAATTTATTTCTAGTATTCTATTCATTTTCCAGGAACATTCAAGGCGACCCTTTTCTGACTAACTTTAAAAGTTTAAGCCGGTGGAAGCTCAGCTTTGCTTCCAACAGACCAGTGGGCTTTTCCACGCCCACCCCCTTAAAAAAAATAATTATGATTTAAAGGAGAAAAGGGAACACCCACCAAAGCCACGCATTATTTTTTTTTAGGATGTGCGGGGGAGCATTTGGTGAATTTAAAAACAAAACGGGCACCCGGGGAAACATTGGAGCCCGACAAGGCTGGGAAGCTGTGAGATTTTCCTGCAGGAAATAAGGAAGGAAGAAGCTCGTCAGTCAAGCCATTTTCTGCTTTGCTGCAAGGTAAAAGGATGTTTATACCTTTGGGAAACTCCTCCTTGGGGGCTAACATTCCTCCTTCCCGCGGCCCCAAACTCTTTTTGTCAAACCGCTGGCCACCTAAGCCAGGTTTTCATAATTTGGATCATTCTGATCCTGAAAGATCTGGCAAATATTCTTGGGTTCTGCCAAGAGGGTAAGCGGTCCTTGGCAGAAGAAAACAGTATGAGTTTCCCAGGCACTGCCAAACACACAGCACAGGTGCAGAATTTGAGATTTAACCAAAAACGGGCAGGTACAAAGGTCCTTTGGGGTCCATGTTTCTCAGGACCTGGATGGTAGGGAATCCTCCGGTTTTTACCATGTTTTAGGGTGGCAGGAGGGGCCACCTTTGGAGTGTCGTTTTCACCCTTCCCGGGCCTTGTCCCAGGGGAGAGAGAGCAAATAAGTGGAAGAAATCTCCCTCTTTTAAAAAAAAATAAATCTTCTCTTGTCTCCTTCTTGTGTTTGGAAAACGTCTCAAGACGCGGCTGCTTTCCAGCGACGGGCCCTTTCAGAAGTACTGTAAGGAGTTCAGGCTCTCCAACTCGACTTCGATGGAAATAATGTGATGCCCGGGAACCATCGCTAGGCCCAGCACTCGAGGTTCTCCCGCTGAGAAGGAGTCTGAAGGCGACAGAAGAAATACAGAGAGAGAGAGAGAGAGAGAGATACTTATTATTAGAGAGATACAAAGCTGGGTGGCTTTGTTGCAGACGTCTCAGGACCCAACTTGGTTACATCATGAGCCTTTTGCTGGCGCAATAGTTAGGGTACAGTCCCGCAGGCTACTTCAGCTGACTGCCGGTTGCCTGCAACTGGGAAAGATCGAACCTCGCCAGGCTCAAGGTTGACTCAGCCTTCCGTCCTTCTGAGGTGGGTAGAATGAGGACCTAGATTGCCGGGGACAAATAGGCTGTAAACCACTTAGAGGCGGCTATAAAGCACTGTAAAGCAGAGTATAAGTCTAAGGGCTATTCCCAGAGGTGGGTTGCTGCTGGTTCTGACTGGTTCACCCGTACTGGTAGTTCCGACCACCGGCTGGGCCCTCGCCCACCCTCCTGCCCCGGTGCTATCCCACCCTATATATATATATATCTCACTCAGGAAGCCCAGCTGACTTACGCGCCTTGCCCGCTCTGCTGCGGCTGCCTGAGAAGATGTGCTGGATGGCATGTGCGTGAAATTGCCGTGTGTTTTCGGTTCTGCACTAGGCAAACCGGTTGTTAAAATTATGTGAAACCTACCTCCGGCTATTGCTATCCCCGGCGCTAGAAGGGCGGGAGATTTGCAGAGGGGAGAAGGGCAGGAGGATGCGTCACAAAACATCTGCAGAAAAACCGCCCAAGCTCAGAGAGCACCAAAGACCCCACAGTCGCCGTCCTCCTCCTCCTCTCCACAAACCCCACACTCCCTTCTAGCACTGATGGCGTTATGGAGTTGGGTCATGAAACGTCTGCAAGAAAATCACCAAGGACCCAATACTTCTCCTCCTCCTCTTCCTCTCAACAAACGCCACTCCCTTCTAGCACTGATGATGTTACTTAGCTGGGTCATGAAACGTCTGCAAGAAACCACCAAACTCAGAGACCACTAAGGACCCCATAGTTCTTCCTCCTCCTCCTTCCTCCCCCTTTCTTTCCACAAACCCATCTCCCTTCTAGTACTGATGACGTTACGTAGCTGGGTCATGAAACGTCTGCAAGAAAACCCCCAAGCTCAGAGGGCACCCCACATAATACTTGACTTTTGAAGAGCATTTTAGTGGGACAAACCAGGGTGCAGTTGTCCAGAGACCAGGCCGGGGGCCAGTGTGTGTGTGTGGGGGGACTCACCAGTGGGTTTCAGGTATTCTTGGGCAGAACCCAAAATGACGTTGCAGTCCCGGTCAGTGCACAAGAAACAGCCCACCAGGGTCCGTCCGTCCGTCATACGAATCCGCAGGCTCTTGTTCAGGAGGTTCTCCAACTTACGACGGGCGCGCAAGTAAGGCGAGTCAGCGGTTTCTTCAACTGGGTCCTGCCAGAAAAACCCAGAAAACATACTTTCCAAGTCCAGGAGAGCATCTTTTATTTCCTCCCAATTTTCCAAAATGAGATCAAGCCACTAGTCCTCAAGAAAGGCTGGGGGAGGTTAATATTATGCACCTGAGGCAGCATCTGGTGTTTTTAAAGGGCTGTTGTATGGATGGCTTTTCCACACAAGTACAGGTAGTCCTCAGCTTGCGATTAGAAGGGAGCCCCAACATTACTGTTGCTAAGTGAGACAGCTGTTAAGCGAGCTTTGACCCGTGGTTACGATTTTTTTTTCTTGCCATAATTCTTAAGTGAATAATTGCATTTTTTAAAGTGAGGAACACGGTCATTAAGCGAATCTGGCTTTTGACTTTGCTTCTCAGGTCATGAAAGGGGACGTTGTAACTGTCATAAATATGAGTCAGTTGCCCAAGGGCTAATCATTCAATCAATCAATCAATCAATCAATGAGTCAATTGCCACCCTGGCACTTCCACAGCCAGTTTATGCCACAATCTTATTTATCCATTTATTAAATTTATAAGCTGTCCATCTTAGTATCGAACGACTCTGGGTGTCATTATAAACCACCCCAGAGTTGTTTGATTGTGAGATGGGCAACACACAAATTTAATAAAGGAATAAATAAGATTGTGGCATAAAACTGGCGAATCAGTAAGATTGAAAACTATGACGATGAACAGGAAATTTGGTAAAAACCAGGATTCACGCCAACGGGATGTGGCGGAACATTCCTCTTTATCCATGATTAATTTTATTAAGCCAGTATGAAGATTTTATATATAATAATGCATGTTTATAATTCCCACCTCTTGCCCATCTCCCTCAGATATTACAAAACCATACATTACATTGTAATGCCATATACTATAATTTATATAATTTGTAATTTATATAATTTATAATTTAAATTTATACTATACTATAATGTAAATACTATATTGTAATGCTATATACTATAATTTATAAAATTTGTAATTTATATAATTTATAATTTAAATTTATACTATATACTATAATATAAATACTACATTGTAATGCCATATACTATAATTTATATAATTTGTAAGTTATATAATTTATAATTTAAATTTATATTATATACAATGTAAATACTACATTGTAATGCTATAATTTATAATTTATAAAATTTATAATTTAAATTTATACTATATACTATAATGTAAATACTACATTGCAATGCTATATACTATAATTTAGTATTTGTATACCTAATGCAATACTATATATACGTATATAAAGATACATAACTATATAATAAAATAATATAGATGAACTATGATATAGATTTAGATACTATACTTAATGTGCAGTTGTATTAATCTATTATAATTACAGTCTTATCAACTATCTCGCTTAGCAACAGAAATTGGGGGCTCTATTGTGGCCGTAATTCGAGAGCTACGCTGTATTATAGTATAATATAATAATATATACATAATTGTGTGTGTGTGTGTGTAAAATACATTATAACTATTTAGCACAATATATATTAACCATAATAGACATTTAATACACTGTAATCTATATTAACTATAAAAAATAATTGTATTAAGCTATTATACACACACATATGTAATTTTAAAAATATTATTTAGAGACTACAGCTTCCTGGCGGCTGCCCGCTTCCCAACTTAGCAGATGGGCTTTGTAGTCCCTCATCGATGGGAGGCGGCTTCAAGTCTCTAGCTCTGCCCTCGAGGGGAAGGCTCTGTGTCCCCACCACCACCCCGCACTCCCGCCCGAGCCCCGGCCCTTCCCACACCTCGGGGACGCAGTTTCCGCAGCCGTTTTCATCCGACTCCCGAGGAACCGGAGGCGGCGGCGGCTTCCTCAGCATGGGCTCCTGGGCCGGTGAGGCCGCCATCTTGCCAAAGGAACTACCCTTCCCACAAGGCCCTGCGGCCTTTGGCGGCGTTCCGCATGGATGCGCGTACGCACGCACGCACGCATCCGGCTTCTCCTTCGGCACCGCCCCTTGGGGGGGGGGAGACGAGCGAGACTGCGTTTTCCCGTAGGGCTTTGCGGCAGCGCGTTGCCAAGGGCAGCGCGGGACGCGGCGCATGCGCCCAGGCGATTATCATGGAGGGCTCCTTCCGGCAGCGTTACTTCACGCCGCGGGAGGTGTCGGTGCACAACCGGCCGTGGGACCTGTGGGTCTCCTACCTGGGGCGGGTGTACGACCTCAGCCCCCTGTCCGAAGAGTACAAGGGTAAGGGCGGGGGAATGGGGCGGAGTTTCGGTGGCAGGGCTCCCCCAAGTGGAGCCTCCAGGTGGAGAGGCAGTCTACCTGAACGGGGGAGAAGGAAGAAGAGGAAGGCATCCTTACTGGCAAAGATGCAGCTGGCAAGGGTGGTTCTCCGAGAAGGGAGAGGGGAAAAGCGCAGTGAGGGAAGAAAGGAGCTGGAGGGCCGAATTCAAGGCTTGCATAGCTCGGGGGAGGTCAAAAAAGTCAAGATGGCGGCCTCAACCATGCAATTAATTTTTTTATTAACGTGCATTGCCCCCACAAGCATATGTGCCTCCCCGCAGCAAAACTTAAAAATCAAAAGAAAATAATAAAATTAAAATAAAAGGGCAGAACTGATGGACTGCTGGTCTTTTTCTGCAGTTTTCCATATTTCCATTGTGTGGTGGTGGCTGCCATTTTGACCCCCAAGGACTGCCATCTGTCCGGAATGATTTAGGGTCTCCTGCTTGAGCGAGGGGTTGGAATAGATGACCTACATGGTCCCTTCCAACTCTGTCTAATCTGACTCGGGAGAGGGGCGAAAGGATGCTCCTACAGTCATTGGATAGACAAGGATAGACATGTCCAAGGTGCTACAAGGGGATGGGGGCATTGGGACACCCTCTCTCCCCCCCAAAAAATAGCAGAACGGAGTGTCTCTAATACGGATCCTGGCTTCTCTCTCCGTGCAGGGGACCTCCTCATGAAGCCCCTCCTGGAAGTGGCAGGGAAAGACATCAGCCACTGGTTCAACCCCAGGACCAAAGACGTGAGTGTCTGCAGGCCCATCCGGTGACGCCAGGCCGGGTGGGCGAGGCTTCTGGATAGACCCTTTTGCAAGACCCAGGAAGCGGGCCTCGGGAAATGCCCGCAGGTAGTCCTTGACCTACAACTGGTCACTTAAGTGAAAAAGGGAGTGGATCTGTCTGTGGAGATTCTCCCGTCATCCAGGCCCAGGGTTTCAAACTTAGAACTTAAATTGCTCTTACGATGAGAAGATTTCTGTTAAATTTGGAGCCCTTCGTCGGTTGGCGTTTGGTGGATTGGAGGAGGGGACCGTCCTTGTTAGATGATAGTTGAGGCTGGCCTTTCCACCCTGTTCCTTGCAGATACAGACACACATCGATCCCCGCACAGGCTGCCTGAAGTACTACACACCCCAGGGCCGGTTTGTGCACATCCCACCACCTCTTCCGCGCTCGGACTGGGCCAATGATTTTGGGATGCCCTGGTGGAAGAACCCCATTTACGAAATCGGCACCTTGTCTGCAAAAACCCGGCACATTCGGATCATCAACACTCTGACTTCTCAGGAGCAGACCCTGGAGGCGAGTCCCATCCTCCCCAGCCCTTGCCTGGCCTCAAGACCCTCTTGGGCAATCCGTCTTCTTCCCTGAGGGATTGTCGAGTGTACGAGCACAACAGGCTTGAGCAGGGTGGTTTTAGTTAGGTTTTAGGCTGGACATAGAAATGGGATAAGAGTCGGTTTGGTGTGGTGATGAAGGCACCGAGCTAGGAACCTGGGAGTTCTAGCCATACTTTAGGCATGAAAGCCAGCTGGGTAACTTTGTGCTGATCACCAGGAGATGGTGAGTCCTAGTCCCGCCTGAGGCATGAAAGCTGGCTTTATGACCTTGTGCCAGCCACTTTCTCCCAATCCCAGGAAGGAGGCAATGGCCAACCACTCCTGATGAAACTTGCAGGGACTTTTCCAGGCAGTCTTTGAGAACCAGACAAGATTAAACAAATGAAGGGGGCGGAGGGAACCTTATAGCTGTACCACGTTGCATGCGAAGGGTTATCTCTGATTGGGTCTGTATTGGGCTCATTTGGGGAGCATTCAGTTCAGTGTACAGACTGCGTAAACATGAGGCCACATGGAAGTCAAGCAAAGTTGGCCAGTTCCTTCCCACTCCCACCTTGAACCCGGGGGGGCGGGGGGGGGGGGGCTCAGGGGTGTCTCCTGCCCTCCTGCTGTGGTCCTGTGGACAATGTGGTTCCGTCTGCAGGTCTGTTCAGAAGAAACCATGTGGGAGATCTTGAGGCGCTATTTGCCCTACAACGCGCACGCCGCCAGTTACACATGGAAATACCACGGCGCCTGTCTGGACATGGATAAGAACCTTCAGGACAACAACATTCCCGACGAAGACGAGGAGTTCTACCAGCTCAACATGGACGCCGACGCCTTCACGACCGCCATTTTGCTTTACTTCAATGATGACCTCACTGAGCTCTAGAAACCCGCCTAGTCGTGGGCCTATTTCCCTCCAGCTGGAAGCCTCAGGTGCCCCTTCTTCTCAACAGCAGCTGCAGGATACCGAATTTATCTCCAAGAGCAAGCGCTTGGTGGAAAGGAAGATGCACCCCCAAACGAGGGTGGGTCCCTAAAATACGATCTCCTGGTCCTGTGAATGTCCACCTGAATTTTACAGGCTCTTTGTGCCGACTGTTTGCTGCTGCAGCCACTAGATGTCAATCGTGCCTCACGGTGCAGCCATTTTGAAGCTCCGTCATTCTTCACATGGTTTTAAAAAATAATTGCATTTTATTATCCTGCAAGCCTTGAGCTGGGAAAGCAGCTTTGCTCCCAAGCTGGCCCTTTTATCTGGAGGAGCCCACACAATTTTATATTTTAACTTTAAAGTGCTGTCCTCTGGCCTGAACATACTGCTTAACCCTGAAGGAAATTTAAGTAATCTTGCAGCAATTATTTGCGCCTGCTTGAGCTATTTCAAAGGCTTGTTTGGAGGAGTGGTTGGAGGTGGAGGAATAAGAATCCCCTTGGAGGATAAGTGGGATAAAAATAAAATAGCAAAACATAAGATGTTTACGGTGAAAAGACATCATTGTCCAGATTGACTTTTTTTTAAAAAAAAAAAATCATCTTGATGCATGCCTTGAAGAGAGCAAATCTTCAATAAAGTCTGTCTTTTTGTCACATTAACTTCTGATGTTAAGGGAAAAAAATATGTGACTATCAGTATCAAATGTCTTCTGGGTGCTTATTCTCAGACCTAAGCCTGCAGTAATCTGTTTAATGAGGTTGATTTTGCAGGAACTCTGTTCAGGATTCATTACAGCCAAAGCTGTTTTCATAAACTGGTTATTTCCAAAGAAAATACGTTAACGGCAAAGTTGTGTCCAAGTCAAACTTGATCCTTGGTGTATTTGGGAACATGGACACAGAGAGAGGTCTTTGGCACTGGAGAGATTTGTCATAGTTTTCTTCTGGAATGTCTATGTATTTCCTGGTGGTCTTCTATCCCATATTAACTAGAACTTAGTTTGTTTAGTATTTTGGAAATCAGACAAAATCACTTAGATGATGCTGTATACCTGAGTACAATTTTTAAAAAAATGTATTTATTTAAAATATCTACATAGCTGCCCATCTTTCAGCCAACTCTGGGCAGCTTCCAATCAAAACTTGAAAGCCATGAAGAAATTGTTTTAAAAACCATAAAATGCAACCAGTTAAAAGTTAAAACAAAAAAAACCTGGTGGTTTCAGGCGCATTTGTGGAAAAGCTAGGTGTTTCCCATGTCCATTTCCTCTGAAGGTAGGGATACAGAAACCAGTGATTGTTACTTTTGTCGCTCGTAAATCATCTGTTTCTGCCATCAAGCATTATAGATTGTGGTGTTTTTATG